CCACTACGCTGACCTTTCTCGTCAGCGTCGTGCTCAGTCCCCCCCCGGCGCCTCACGTCCCCGGGGCGCCTCCTAGCCACGGTGCAGTGTACACCTGCGCCCTCCTCAGTAGTGGGCTTCCCGACATCTCCGTCGCGGTTCGCCCCTCTCGCTACTGGAGTTGAGGTATCGCAGGACTCGACAGAGTGTACTCCGCCCTCTGTCGCAGTACCGTCTGCGCCTCCGCAGACCACCGACTCCCCTCCTYCCCCGCCGCGACTACCGACGAGTCGAGCCATTCGCTCAGCCCGTTGCAGCGAGCAGCTTGCTTCTCGCGAGGACGTTGTGTCCTCTCTTCTGGACTTGAGCGTGCTTCAAGCTCGTCAGAAGCGACTCACCCTCCATGTCGCTGCACTGCGTCGCCTTCTCGCCATTCTCTCTGACCTTGATCGCACCCTCCCGATCATCCCCGTACGACTCGGGACCTCCACGAGGGTGTACTCAGCACTGTGGGATTCCGGTTCTCAGGGCGACTTCATTCACCCACGCGTGGTGAAGGAAGCCCGCTTACCCACGACAGGGTCTCCGACTCTCATCTCCGTTACCCTAGGGGATGAGAAGACCCAACGCTTCTTCGATCAGACGGTCACCGACCTCCCCTTCTTCCTCACTCTCGAGCCGACTGAGCGTCCCCCGGCGTCTCGTCGCCACCGCTCCTCTGCACATTTCGATGTGATGATGGAGACGGGGTACGACTTCATTCTCGGCACTCCGTGGTCTCGTCGATTCCGCAGCACCGAGGCCGATTGGGCGACCAACACTCTCGTTCTCAAAACGAAGTGTGGACAGACGTATCGCGTACCTTTCATAGGTACCACGACAACGCCACGCCCCGATCCTCCTCCCCCGGAGCCTTCAGTGCCCACACCATCTCCCTCTATCACGGTCACCTCGCCTCGGCAGTTYGCTCACTTMATTCGAYAGGACGACGTCACCTTCTTTATGGTGGACGTGACGGATCTCTTACACTATGATCCACCCTGTCCCGACGCCGAGCTCATCCCTCTGGACCCAGACCCCTCCTCTATCTCCATGGCTCCCATCTCTACTTCCGTCCCTCCGCCGTCCGTCGAGTCCACCCCGCCGAGGCGCGCTGACGCTGACGCTGAGGAACTCGCACGATATACGGCTGACTTGGAGCCCGCAGTTCGTGACCTCATCCGAGAGTACCACGACGTTTTCCCATCGCCGTTCTCGTACGCCGGCATCCCACCGATGCGTGACGTCGAGCACTCCATTCATCTCGTGCCTGAATATCGTGTTCACCACCAGGCACCCTATAGACTCTCGATCCCCGAGGCCACCGAACTGAAGCGTCAGCTTGAGGAGCTCCTGAGACTGGGTTTCATTAAACCCAGCAACTCCCCGTGGGGTGCACCCGTCCTCTTTGCTCGCAAAGCGGATGGAACTCTTCGTCTCTGCATCGACTACCGCGGCCTTAACCGCTACACGGTTAAGAACAGCTACCCCATGCCTCGTTCCGATGAGCTGTTCGACCGCCTAGCAGGCAACCGCTTCTTTACGAAGATTGATCTTCGTAGCGGTTACCATCAGATCCGCGTCGCTGCAGCCGACCAGCCGAAGACAGCGTTCCGATCGCGATTCAGCCACTACGAGTTCACGGTGATGCCGTTCGGCCTCACCAACGCACCCGCTACCTTCCAGAGGGCGATGAACGACATCTTTAGGGATATCTTGGAGCAGTACGTTCTCGTCTACCTCGACGATATCCTGGTCTATAGTCGTACCCTTGAGGAGCACCTCAGACACCTCCGCGACGTCCTTGATCGCTTGCGCAGACATGGCTTCTACGCCAAGCTAAGCAAGTGCCGCTTTGCCCAACACAAAGTGGATTTCTTAGGACACTACGTGTCTGACCAGGGTCTCCACATGGACGACGCGAAGATCACTGCTATT